GGCCGGGCCGGGCCGAGCCGAGCCGAGCCGGGCCGAACCAGGCCGGGCCGCCCCAGGCGCCCGACGAGCTCCAGCGACCCCGCCCCTCCGCCACGCACTGACATCTCATCAGTCCCAACCCCCTCGCCTGATGCAATCCATTTCCCGCCTCGCTTTCAGCCGCAGGCCAATCACGGGCTAGTCAGGGCGCTCCGTCATGCCACCCGGGCCAATGAGGAAGAGCCACGATCGTAGAAATCCGGGCGGGGCAGCCACGAGCGCAGACGGTCCGGAGTCGTGGCGCCGGGCAGCGCGTCGCCTCCCTCTCCTCCCGCGCCGGCCATGGCAGCGCTGCCCGGTGCCGCAGCCCCCCGGCTGCTCCTCATCCCTAGCAAAGCAGCCGAGCCACCCGGCCCCGCGGCCGGCCGCCATATTTCCGTTGTCCTGCCGGTAGGAGCCGCCGCCAGCTCCTCGGACCTGGAGGCCCCGCAGCCGGCCCGCAAGCGGCAACGGCTCACTCATCTGAGCCCGGAGGAGAAAGCGCTGCGCAGGTGAGGGGGCCCCCCCCGCGGGGGTGGGGGGGCTCGCCGCGGCGGGTCGGGGTCGGGGGGGTCTGGCCGCCCTGACGGCCGCCCTGCCCCGCAGGAAGCTGAAGAACCGCGTGGCGGCCCAGAGCGCCCGGGACAGGAAGAAGGCGCGGATGACGGAGCTGGAGCAGCAGGTGGTGGAGCTGGAGGAGGAGGTATGGGGCTGGGGGGCCGGCGGAGCGGGGGGCGGCCGCGGCCGGCGCTGCGGCCTCCTGCCTGACAGCTCTTTGCAGAACCAGAAGCTGCTGCTGGAAAACCGGCTCCTGCGGGAGAAGACGTGTAGCCTTGCTCTGGAGAACCAGGAGCTCCGCTGCCGCCTGGGCTTAAATGCTCTGAAGATGGAGGAGGAGAGCGAGTCCGAGGTGAGCCTTCTGCCGCGCTGGTGGTGTGTCTTCATCTCTTTCTGGGCAGAACTTGCGGAGAGCTGCCGTGCCCCCAGAGGTGCCTGCGTGGCAGCGGGTGGGGAGGGGTAACCCCTGCGCTGAGAGCTCTTGGGCTGAAATTGCCGTGCTGTGAAGAGGGATAATTCATGTGCCAGAAACGCTCTTGTCCTCCAAATGGACGCTTCCCTACAGACCGAACAGATGCTGAGTCTGAACTGGGTGCCACTGGTAGTGTGGGAGATAGCGGGCTGACTAGTTCCAGGCTGGTTTAAGATTATTTCTACATTATGTTCTAGAAGTGAGGTAGTAAGTGTTACAGTCATGTATGCCTGTCTCAAAAGAGCAGGGAGATATAGTGGAGGGGGTCAGGCTCTCATTTAAGTGGTGAACAAAATAAATCTGCAGATGTATGGAAGCTTGAGCCAACTTCAGAAGTGGTCTTTCGGGTTCCTACTGCACAAGCAAGTGGAGAATCTAATGTTGTAAGCCTTTGCAGGAAGAGCATGACTTTCATGATTATGTACTGTGCTGTCTGCCAGAACTCTTGTGGTGACTGACTGGATTTTTCTCCTTGGTACAGGTTGTGAAGGAATCACAGGTGGATGAGATTAGATTGGTGACCGGGTCCGCTGAGTCCGCAGCACTCAGACTACGTGTTCCTCTGCAGCAGGTGCAGGCCCAGCAGTCACCATTTCTGATAACTTCCACATGGATTCTGATGGCAGTGACTCTTCAGACTCAGAGGTGAGCATCCACTCCTATCCAAAACACCCACAAAATTCAGAACCACTGTGGATTGGAGACTAGTGTTGTAACTTCTTGATGTAAAGTCACTTGATGACTTTCTGTAGCTGGCTTGTTTTCCAAGTCTTTTGTCGCGGTTGGGACAGACAAAATGACAAGACAACAGAACTTTATAAAAGCAAGCTAGTGCAAAAAGCCTTTATTGCTCTCTTTCTCTGTTCATTTATACTCTCTTTCCCCTTAGCTTCCCCAGATGTGTCTCTTATTGGTTCAAAGTTGTTATGCTGTGTTATCATTGGTTAACATTTGCACAGTTCATCACAACTCGGCTCTTCTGCCAAAAGGACACATACGCCTTGTCTTGCAGTTAACACTTCCTCAAAACTTGTTTATCTTGCAGTTCTTCTTGTTCCTGTTTGTTCTCTCAAGGGTAGACTGGAATCTTCTCAGGGACAAAGTCGTCCTGTCCAGGGGCCTCAGTCCAGCTGAGGTCCCCCCCAGTCTTTGAATGCCATACCTGTTGCTTAAAACAGCTGTGTTAAGCTATATCCAGGGAGAACAGTCATTCATGCAACTTGAACAAGTCCAGTTCCCATAAAATCTTGGAGAATATTGCCTGAAACAATCTCTTGGCTCTTACAGCAGAAGTGTACAAATACCAAAAGCATACTGTGCTATTACCGTTGTTGAAAACAAACTTGATCATTTTGCTGATGTGCTGGCACTTAGCAAAGCTGTTAGAACTTAACACCTGTCCCTTATGAATGACTTCATAAATGTAAGGACAGGCATCTTTCACCTTTAAAAAAGAAAATCAAACTACAAAACAAAAAAACCCCAAAACAAACCCCCCATCTTTGGTCATGGGCAGGTCTGCCTAAATCTGGTTCTGGTACTTGCTCTATGGAGCCAGCAGGTAGTGTGATGTTTGTACCTGATGGGTCCGAGATCTTGTGGAATTTCTAATAGAGGCTGTGAATATCAAATGCATGTAGAATTCTATGGGGATTGTCAATACCCGTACAAAAAAGTTAATGGACAAAGAATTTCTGAAAGATAAGTAATTGCCTTAACTGTCTGGATGGTGGTGTTCTTGGTAAAACTCCTAGTTCTGTGATCAAGTTAGCATACTTTTAACTTCCAGATGAGGGTTAATAGATGCCACAGCTGATGTTTTGCTGTAACAGTAGTAGGCTCTCTTTCTAAAACAGTATTTCATTCTGCAGTCTGATCTCCTCTTGGGCTTTCTGGACAGTCTGGACCCAGAGATGTTTTTCAAATATGCTGATTCAGAGTCGACATGCCTGGAAAAGCTGGAGGAAGAGATCTGTGGAGAAACAAATTCCATACCAACCTCCCCCTCTCCCTCTTTGGGGTCCCCATCAGCTAAGCTGGAGGCCATTAATGAACTGATAAGGTTTGATCATGTGTACACAAAGCCCCTAATACTGGAGATTCCTGTTAAAATGGGCAACCAAACCAATATGCTAGTGAAAATTGAAGAAGTCTCTCTCTCTCCATCTGAAGATAAAGCTGTCCCTAAGGTCCCAGTATCTGTGAAAGAGGAACCTGTAGACAGCTTCATGCCTGAACTGGGCATCTCTCATCTGCTTTCCTCTCATCATAGCCTTCCAGCCTCAAGCTATCTGTTGGATGCCTGTAGTGACTCTGGATATGAAGGATCCCTGTCGCCCTTCAGTGACATGTCCTCTCCACTTGACACTGACCATGCTTGGGAGGATAGCTTTGCCAATGAACTCTTTCCCCAACTGATCAGTGTCTAACTCGGTAGTGTTAACTCCCCTTGGATAACTATCCTGGCAGGATAACAGGATATGCCCCTTTGGGGTGGTGGTGGGGGAAATTGAGTGTATTCAGAAAAGCATTGCTTATTTCGACCCATGCTAATAGATGGAGTGATGGCCAATGCATTTCTCCTGCTATGAAAAAGCCTAGGGTGTCCTGTCCTGCCTGCCCTCCCACCCCCACCAGTGGTGGCTTATGAGGGAGGAAAGCTTGTTTTTCTAACTTGCCAATTCCATATGAACCTGAAAATGTTCATTTTGTTTTACATTTAAAATAATTTTGAAACCAAAAATTGCAGTGGGATATTCATGTATAGGCAACTGGGTTAAAAACTAAATAGTCTGTACATCTTGCAGATCTACTATGTAAATGCTTGTTTTCCATTTGCTATGTAGAGTTGCTTTTTCCATTTAATATTTAACTGTATTGGTGCAATTAAAGTGCAATGCAGCTCACTGACCCTTTTTTGCCTTGGATCTCAGTGGGGTGGGAAGATTATTTGGGCCTTGCAGAATTTGAAGCTATAGAAATTTTAAGAGATTAGGTCACTTAGTGTCTTGTCCTTACACTACCATAATGCACCAATCCAGCAGCAGTTCTATGCTGTATGTAGCTGGATGTTGTAGCAGTTTCTTTCTGGGAGCACTTAATGTTGCAAACTCTGTTCAAGGTAGATGGGTTTGTATGATGGCCAGAGCTGTTAGAGCAAAATCTACAGTCTGAATAGGGAATACAGGTAGCAGTAGCTTGATGTCTGAATAAAATTCTTGTAATATCTTCCTGTTGGCCAGTAATGCTATTTGAAATGCTCATTCTGAGTGAGGGAGGGTGCGTTTCACGTGGCATGTCTAGTGTTTGTGAAGCTGTGTGAGACATACATGGGGTGAAAAAGGTGCAGGTCCTATGTTACCACAGGAATTCCTGAAGCATAAAATTAACTTTGCAGGAGCTAATTTCAAATACCACAGTAGGACTTTTTTTTTGTCCTCATACATTTTGTTTCAATGTCACAGTACTCAAAACACTTGAATTGGAGTGAGAAGAAACTGAGATTTTATACTGAAAGTGTGAGAGCTGTTCCAGGTGTTCGCACAACTGTTCTTTGTTTCAGTGCTATTTCATGTCTTGCATTAAATTTGACAAAAATAACTTGAGATGGGGGATGGGACAGGAGGGTATTGGTCACTAACATTCAAGGTGACAGGACTGCTTTGGATTACAAACTTGAGCAACCTAGCTTGTTGTAATAAAACATTATATCTGAATATTGGATAGTAAAAACTACAGCTATGCAATATAGCAGAACCTTAAATTAAAAAAAGTAAGTAGTCTGAGAATAAGTTGCTTTACTTTCAAGCTGGAAAATAGGGATGGCTGCAAGAGATCTCTTGGTACCTAATATATGTTGCTGTGAGTCCAAAAAGCAAATGGACAGGTGAGGATTTGATCCATAGTTTTGCATTACTTTTGTCAGTATTATTGGAACTTCATATGAAACTAAAAAAGTTCAAGTATAGCAGAAATAATGTAAGGAAGAGGTTTCATTTCTTTAAAACTCAGCTCTACATTTTCTAGCTTGGAAGTTGAAGACACAGTTTACAGAAATAAGCATGCAGTAGTTGAAAGTAGCACCTGTAAAACAATTGGTATTTCACATACTTTCCTCAGGGCTATAGGAAGGTTGAGACTAGCACACCAAAGATGCGCAGCCCATCCCACTGCTCATGCTTATTTTTGTTTCTTCAGGAGCTGATCCTAACTGTAGATGAAATGGAATTTTTGCTGATGTGTGCTATCTCCCTTAGGATATCTCAGGTTATCAAGGATGTTTCTCAGTCCAGTTTTACTCGTGTGATGTTTAGGATTAGAATTGCATTTTTTGTGCACCTAGACAAGCTACTGTGACTAAAGCAAGCACTTTTTAAGCATGACAACTGATAACCAAGCATTTTAATAGCTACTGAAAGTAAGGCCTTTACCAAAAGAAATGAAAATCAACTAATGAAATCAAGTACATAAAGTTAATAGTTTTGCTGCCTGAACATCTTTTTAAAGTCTTTCTTCCCTTGTTAAGGTATGTGGGAAGAGTGTGAACAAGAGGTAAGAGGGCTTGCCATATATTATGCATTAATTTAAATATAGTTTCTGCTATTAAAAACACTGTAAGGGCAAGTCTTTCTGCTGTTTTGGGTTAGTTGTGTTTTAGCTTAACTAATGCAGCAATAAATGGTGGCACAGCAAAAAATCTACACTGAGCATTCAAGAACCTACCCGGAAAACCTGAACATCCATCTGTGTTGGTTCCTTCCACCCTAACCCCACCCTCCAGTTTCTGTGTGGGCTGTCTTCACCAAAGAATGTCTCTCCAGCCTTCATGTTTAAAGGTGTAGAAATCCTGCCATTTCCTTCAAATTTGAGGGGGAAAAGAAGTCCAAAATCAAAGGAGGTGAAGAGTACCTTAAAGCTCACAGACTGTAACACCTGATACCTGCACAACTGCAGGGAGTTTTTTTATTTTCCCAGCAATGCTTAAGGCAGTTCTTTTTTTCATGCTAGCTCAGGTTAAGACGGCAACATTAACTGACAGGATGAGGAAGAGTGGAAGTGAAGAGTTAATGTGAACTCTTCTGGCAAACTGCTTAAGAGATAAACTACTTACACTGGTTGCAACAGATTTCTTGGGGGAAGCATGACCTTTGTTTTCAATGAATAAGGAAGTTTACAATTCTTACGTTCAGCTTTTGGTGTACCATTACAAAGGCACTGCCCAGTATCATATACACATTTCATAATAACTAAATCCAAGGACTCAACAAGAGTAATTCAGCTCAAACCAAGACCAAAGTAGGGCAATCTTTTACCAAATTAGAGGGGCACAGAAAAACATAGCTGCCTTAGAAAAACCAACAAACCCAAACAACTGGAAAAGCTGCCTAGGCAGGAAATGGCTGTAGGCAACTCTCTAAGCTGTTGGGTTTTTCTTGAAGACAAAAGTTGGTGGAAAAACTGAGGGACCTGTTCCATGTCTGACACATTGAAGTCAAACAGCTGTACATGAATGGTACACTGAGAGAAATAAGAATACATGCAAGACATGGCCATCCTAAACCAAAATCCTGTACCAATTATCAGCCTTGCCTGTGCTTAAGCCTTAAGGGAGATAACCACCAGAAAATTCAACATTACAAAGGATTGCTTCAGACAGCATTCAAAATAAAAAGAATATATACACCTCTACTGCATATTACTTTCCTTTGTTCTTAAGTCAGCCAAACTACAGTTCTCAGCTGCTAGGCAAGCTTCTGCTCCAGTAATTATTCTGAGCCAGTGGTATAATAAAGATCACTGCTCTCACAAGGTTGAGGTTTTAAATTGCTTTGATTCATTAAAGTAGTTAGTGGTGGTCTGAACCAACATCAGGTGAAGTACACCTTGATGGCTGTACATGTAAGCTTTTTGGGTCTCCTGTAAACTGAATTCAACTTAGCTTGCCTGAGAGCAGCCACGTGCTCTGAAGTAAAGGCTGCTCCTGCAGCAGCAGCAGAGAAAGCAGTGGTAGCATAGATCCCCTTTTCTCCACCATAATCGCAGCAGCTGCCAACTGTCACTGAAGTAGAGCACTGCAATCCTCAGAATCATCCTTGTGCTACCACAGATAGAACGAGGCAAGAGGCTAAGAGTGGATGCGTGAGTGATACGGAGCAGAGAGCTACCATCTTCTGCTCGAGGAGTAACTTCACTGCAGCACGTCCTGCTGCTGCCCCAGCAGGCAGGAAAAGTCCTTCTTATGTCCTGTGGCCAGAAACACCTTGACGCAGGGACTGAAGCACTTCACCGGTGCTGCTGTATCTCTGTCGCTCTCTTCTCTCCTGCAACAGGCTGCTCTGAAAGGCTGGAAGACCTGTCATTTTGCCACTCTTCTGCCTTCCTCCAAAGCTGCCTGCCTGACCTGTCTCTTCTACCCAAGCAGCTCATATCAGTGCCTGTAGCCACCACCCAGCCCTGTCCGTCTCTGGAGGGCTACACCTGCACTGTTCAGCCACTGCAGCACTGCTCGTGAACATGTCCTGGATGAATTGCAAAGGTGATGCAAGATGAAGTGAAAGAGGTAATCCTCAACACTGCCTGTTGCAAATCGCTTCCCTGCTCCGCTTACTGCGTAACATCCCAGGTGTGATTTACCAATTAAAATGCCAGCAACATCGCCCTGCCATGGCCCCGGGCAGCACTGCAGCCTGGCTGGGCACTGGCAGCTGCTGCCTGTCTTTGCCTGACCTTACAGCTGAGCACTTTTTGTGCCTCCACGAGCAGCAAACTCCTCACGTCTAAAAAATTCAAGAAAAATTTTGTTACGATCACTTTTCCATCATATTTGGAAATGGACTCTGGTTAATAGGTTCACACCCAAACCTTGTTAAGCACAGCAGACAAAAGTGTTCAATGAAGTAGTATTTACATTGTTTTGCTTGCCTTTTTCAACTTTACAGCTACCGATACTTTCTGGCATGCTTTGTCCTGACTTACTGGCAGCATTAGGTTCCAAGAGAAGCTGCTAATATTTATCAAGATCTCTTCCACTAAAAGCACACAACTAGCTCTTGTCAGGCATCGGGAAGCCTAATAGCATTCAGAATTTCTATTAGCCCTTATATATTTTACTAGAATCAAGTCCACTTAGGTGCTACCAAGGCAGGATAAGGTGGTTTTTTTTAATATATATATTTATATAGTACATCAACATCCACAGATTAAAGTGTGAGCATTTAAACTGTCAGCAGAAGATCTTTATCTGAGGTCTTCCTGTAAATGAGAAATGTCAAGTTAAACTAAACCCAGGCAAAGCTGGGGCAGCAAAGTGAAGAGGAACACATGCATAAAGCAGAAGATTTCACCTTTGCTCTATGCTTCCTTAAGATGACTGCTTTCTGATTGCTCTAAATTCTGTTTTGGAGTCCTACTTGTCTCACAACAAGCATGGATCCAGACCCAGTGGTTCACACATATGTTACAACTGCATTTGATTAAATAAATCCTCTGTCACAAAAGCCACACATCTCCTCTAGCTAACTGATATAAGGCACAGGCTCTGGGACAATTACAAGTCCAGTTCCAAGTCCATGCCAAAATAAATTCTGTCCCTCTCCACAGGGTTGGCTCTGTAACTGAGATACTCCTCCCATCTCTACAATCTCCCAGCCACATCCTCAAGGACACTCTCAGCCAGCCAAGACAGCGTTACACAGTCCTAAATGGGTTGGGTTTTACACTACGCTTTTCCTCTCTCTGACTCTGCATTGGAGAAGTATTTAAGTCTTGTCTAAATCCACAGTACAATTTAAGCGAGTCAATGTTTGACTCAGCCTAGAAACCTCGGGGGGGGGGGTATTACTATTTTTGAATATAAATCTGAAGTGCTATTTTCCCCCCTCATTTTGAAAGCAAAGGTAATACTGGTCTAGCACACCCATCCTCATCCTTCAGCTGCTTGAAAAACATCAGAAGATGTTAAACAAAAGAGCAAAGTGTTACATTCCAATAAAATAATTATTAAAATTTGAATTTGTTTTAAAACTCTCCTCAAAAATTTCTTGCTTTTATACAGAACTAAGCAAGCTACGCATTCTTAATTTTAGTCTGAAGTAAAAGGAAAGATCTGCAAACACAAGCTATAGCAACACCTTTTGGTACTCCTTCACTCTGTTAGAGGCCTTTGGGTCATGACAGATTTGCAGCAACTCTTCCTTTCTGGCAGCTTCAGTTTTATTCTACCCTGCTGTTGTCCCACCCCGTCCTGCTGAACACCATGGAAGCAAGAAGTGACATACCCTTGGGACTATGTAGTTAAACTAAAAATCCCCTTAGGCCAGAAGAGTATTTTACGCTCCACTTGAAGGACTGGACTTAGGCTCTCAAGGTTTTCACTTTTATTAGGAAGGAAACACAGTCGTCTAAAAAATATTTTAGAAAATTTATTGAAAACTGACATACAAAGGGTGATTTGGTCCCAAGAGAAGACAGACCAGAATCAGATCTTCCATATTTCAAAATAAAGTTCTTCCTAATACTGCATCACATTTGCCATCCTGCTTGTAAACAGCGTTAATAGAAGTCTTTTAAGGAAGCCAACAACAAATGAAACTTACAACTACAGAACTGTGAAAACACCCAATAGCTTATTCTCTCTCACCCCCTCCAAATGTTTGCTATAGCAGGAATCTTGCTCAGTCCTCCTAGACGCTAGATTCCTGCTCTACCCCACTCTTCTCCTCCCCCATCAATTTAAGCAATTCAACCCTGTTCTCTCCTATCACAAAGGCAGAAATTAATTATGAAAAAAATTAAAATAAATGTCTTCTACCAAAGCAAATTTCTTGGACCCATTTGTTTCCCATCTCATGGTCTCTGTCAATAGTCTACCACTATATTCTCATTTCAGATGGCAGAATAACAGGGGTCTGTGATACCATATTAGCATCAAACGATTAAGAGGAAATACACCTCTGAAAGTCAACCTTTGGTACAAACATAACAGGAAAAAAATGTATGCTTAGAAGCCATCTAAAAAAATTTCTTCCTCTGCAAATTTGATATGCAATTTGTCATTAAGAGGAAAAAACCTGCATCTAGATTTGACGTATTTAGGCTTCCCACAGTTTTCTACATCTGCTGTAGTTTTACTGTTGTTGAGATGGTTTCATCAAATTTTTGAAATTTCTATCCTTTCTTTTCAATTTATGTAGGATTCAGAGCTATCAGCTAAAACAGTTCCAACCTTAAACTTTCACTATAATTCTGCAAGCTTAAAAACACGTAATTATTTAGAGACATCACATTTTCCACTCGCAGTGACTACAGCCTTCTCCAAACTGCGTTGCTTTACTTTATACTCAAGCAATGTAGCATGTCAAAGGCTGTAGATTTTAAGGATGTTCAGCAGCTTAATAATACATGAAAAATTTTACACAGTACATGCAAGAGATTTATAGCAGACCCTGAAATTAAAAATTAGACATAATAGCAAGATAAAGCTGCAGAGGTTCTCCAATTTAATAAAAGTTCCAGAATGGTAAAGTTATACACCGGTCTCCAGAGTAATACCCATTCAAACATTGGAATGTTTTTAGTGAAGCTCTGAAATGTTTTAGCAAGAGACAGCAAATTTCACACAACCTTCGACAAGAGCAGCATGATAGACAGGATTTAACAAATAGGAGCATCTTTTGAACAAAGCTTCTGCTGTCAGCCGAAAGAAAAGAAAGGATTACTGCAAAAA